ATATTTGTACAAATATTTGTAAAAATAAAACAGTGATTTTTTTTCTGAAAGTTTTCCCGAACAAAACAAGTCGTCACTAATTAAAAATAGAACGGAGGAATAACCTCAACATTAAAAATAAATTAACTGTTTCGATTTCTAACATAACTTTAAGTTCAGGATATCACAATTATATTTTAGTTAACTGGTTTAAATTTAGTTAACTAATTTAAGTTGTAGATTTCCGTGTTTATTGAACGCATCGTTTTTGTTACGTCATTCCACGCGTCCAAGCTCCTGATGTGATTTTTGATTGAAAAAGATCGTATATTGAAAAGACGAGTGGATCTGTAAATAATTTCGCCACGACAAAAATGTGTAACTTTTAGGTTGTTTTGGTGTCAATGCATGAGCTTTTTTGGTTGCAACTCTTTTAGTTTTTATTATAAGTTAATTTTTAGTAATATTTCGCTGATTTGTTTTGTGAACTTACTAACCGGTTCCTGAAAATTGCTTTGGAGTGAGACATCTCTACTCTTGCCTCTTTATTCCCCTCTCTGACGTCACGTCCAGAAGAAGCTACGCGCCGCTGCGCTCATGTCTCCCCAGCATAATCGTCTTGTTTTAGGCAAAAACTCTCCGGTTTTATGACGGCCCGCTCTCGGTGTGTCTCGCCCCGGGCAGAGCGGATGTTCCGGCTGTGGTTCCAAGCCGCGGCCGTCGTTTGGCTCGCCCGCGGCTCGGCGGGAGGCTCAGCCCGGCTGTACACGGAGGAGGACCCGCTGGTGATCCTGAGCGGCAGCACCCTGAAGCCCACGGTCACCAACTCCTCCTCGGCCTGGTTGGTCCAGTTTTACTCGTCCTGGTGCGGACACTGCATCCAGTACTCCAGCACATGGAAGGCTCTGGCACAGGACGTGAAAGGTACCGCTGCACAGACTCGATTTGGTTCAAGCCCGTTAGTTTTGCCAAGGAACTAGCTACACCAGACCCCATTCAAAATATTCAAAGTTTAAAACGTCTCAAAAGGCAGATCAAACTACAGAAAGTCTCAGAGTCTCAGTTTTTGAATTTAGTTAATTTTGGATCTCCTCGTGAGTTCGGTGTCAAAATCATCTTAATCTGACTTTTATTTTAGTTAAATAATAACTTTTCTCCCAACGGTTCAGACAGGAGTTGTTCTGCTTCTAGGAAAGGTGAGCTGCTTAAATTGGCGTTTTTTTCTAAGAGGTTCTGATTAAACCTGCTGCTTATTGTTCTCTATTAGAGGTTTAAACTGTTACTAACCCCACCATTATTCATAGATTACCTGTTGTTAGTGGATGTTAGCAACATGCTAATAGTTATAAAGAAAACAAAGCGCAGAAAACGTCCAGATAAACAGCAGATGTTTGCTAGCTCAGGGGAGCTAACGGCTAACAGGTGAATCCTACAGGTGGCCAGAAACTCGTGATTCCAGGGTTTGGTTTGATCCCGGATCTGGATCAGAGTCCAGCTGTGAGAACAGAACCTGTACCAGCCAGCAGATGATAGGTTTCTGTGAGTTTTCTGGTCAAAGATGGAAGTTCTGGTTCTGTTTTCTGCCAGCTGTTCGGGCAGGTGGTCTTTAAACTGAAGCAGAATGTCCTCATAAATACACAAACACGCTGTGGGAACCAGAACCTTCAGGTCCATCTGGCTTCATCCGGGTCTCTGGGGAATCGGACTACCAGCACCAGCTGTCGTCCACACACACACACACACACACACACACACAC